AATCCACATACCCCAACCCCCTCCCCACCCATTATGCTCGGGTCCTGGCCCCGCCGGTACAGCCGCGCGTCTCCCTCCAGGCACTGGGGCACATGCGCTGAGTGGCCGGCTTTTCAGTAAAATGGCCGGGACACCATGCACAACCCAATCCCCTTCCCATCCCAGAGCCAAACACCTCCCCTCCCTGCTGTCACCCAATCCCTCTTCTCCCCCAACCTCATGTCTGGGTCCCAAAGCAGCTGCCTGTGCTCAGCGGCCGGCTGCTAGCATATGCAGGCTGGATGCTGTGCACACTGGGGACTGAGCAGAACAGCACGGGCTGTGACCCGGAGGCGCTGTGCGTAACCCAATCTCCCTCCTCTCCCCTCCCCTTTCCCAGAGCCAAACACCTCCCCTCCCTGCTGTAACACACGTGAGAGTGGCTGACTTGAGCAGTTCCAGGTTCCGTCCCGGTTCCATCAGGAGCGCTTGCCATTTTGATGCCGGGCTATCGGGAGTGCCGGACAATTGGGTGCCGGACTATTGGAGTTTACTGTACAAGTTGGGACAGATTGCTAAGCATAATGGAAAGGGATAAGGCATGTTGTAGGAAGCCACTTAAAAAGAAATCTGCAATTGTGGAGATATTTTTATGCATAGCAGGTATGAAAAAGGTGATTAGGGAGAGCAGGTGCTGAGGTGTGATACAAATTGTTGTAATGAGCCCTTTAGCGTCCATATTGCAGCCATAGTTTTTGGCTCTTAAACTGGGATGTTGGAATGTCCGTACAATGTTGACGGGCCTCTCCGAAGACGTATGGGACATTGACGACCTACGAAAGACAGCAGTCATCAACAACGAACTTCTGAGGCTGAACGTAGACATCGCCGCCCTACAGGAAACACGACTGGCAGACTCAGGCATTCTGAAAGAAAAAGACTACACCTTCTACTGGCAGGGAAAGGCCCCAGACGAGCCCAGACAGCATGGCGTAGCTTTCGCGGTGAAAAATAGCCTACTGAGTATGGTAGAACCAGGCAGTAATGGCTCAGAACGACTCCTCACCCTTCGTCTCAACACCACCACGGGCCCTATCACCCTCGTCAGCGTATACGCCCCAACTCTGAACGCAACATTGGAAACTAAAGACCGGTTCTATGAGAACCTAACATCTGTCATCAACAGCATCCCCGACAAGGAACAACTCATCCTTCTGGGTGACTTCAATGCCAGAGTAGGTGCGGACAATGACTCATGGCCTTCGTGCCTCGGAAAATTTGGCGTCGGCAAAATGAACGAGAACGGCCAACGCCTGCTCGAGCTCTGCGCTTTCTACAACCTGTGCATCACCAACTCATACTTTCAGACCAAGCCCCAGCATAAGGTCTCCTGGCGACATCCGCGCTCGAAACACTGGCACCAGTTGGACCTTATACTAGTTCGCCGCTCAGCTATCAATTGCGTCCTGCACGTACGCTCTTATCATAGCGCTGACTGCGACACAGACCACTCCTTAGTGTGCTGCAAGATCAGGCTGAACCCGAAGAGGTTTTATCGTTCAAGGAAACAAGGAAATCCTCGCATCGACGTCAGCAAGATGTCGCAGCCTGACCTGACGCAGAAATTCGCAGAAGCGCTTGAGAAGGAACTTGACGCCACACAGACAGGAGACTCTGCCATGGGAAAGTGGGAAACACTGCGGAACATAATGCACTGCACTGCCCTGGCAACCTTTGGAAAGAGGACCACAAAGACGCACGACTGGTTTGAAGCAAAGTCCTCTGGGATGATTCCAGTCATAGAAGCCAAGCGCGCCGCCCTGGCAGAATACAAGCGGTCACCAAGCCAGAGGAACCTACAAATTCTCAGGGCTACTAGGAGCAAGGCTCAACAGGTTGCCAGACACTGTGCGAACGAATATTGGCAGCAGCTCAGCAACGACATCCAGAAAGCAGCC